CCTCACTTTCCCTGAACTTTCTGTCTAAAAATGAAGGCTCCTTATTGGCTCTGATGGTTCGAAGAACCTTTAACATCTATGGAATCTTTCCATTGCACTAATGGTTCTTTACAAAAAAGCTTTCAAAATGCCATAAGAACCATTTAGGTTCCCTAAAGAACCTTTCAACAAACAGTTCCTAAAAGAATGTTTTTTTTCTTAGTATGGAGAACATTTTAATAATCTAAAGAAGCTTAGAGTTAGAGTTTTTAGTGGGAAATGTTCTTTAGTTTATTAAAAAGTTATTCTTTTTAGGAAAATTCACTGAAAGGTTCTTTATTTTATTGATGGTTCCACGAAGAACCAAATTATGGAATCTTTGTGCAAAAAACCTGGAAAAAGTAGAAAAAGGTTCCTTATTATTAAATAAAAAAAGACAGAAAATCTTTCTTTTAAGAACTGTTCAATGAAAGGTTCTTTAGGGAACCAAAAATGTTCTTCTATAAAATGAAGATTCTTTATTGACATTGATGGATGACCGTTTAACAATTTTCTTGATATTACACGCTTAAAAAAAATATAAAAATAAATAAATAAATAAATTACATTTTTACCCAGCGGCTGGTTTTGTCCATATTTGAAACAACCAGGCATTTTTTAGAGTACACAAAGATTATTTGTAATATAAAAAATGTTCTTTAGACTTTTAACATTTTCTTTTCACTACGAAAAATGGCTCTTTTAGGAACAGTTTACTGAAAGGTTCTTCGGGGAACCAAACATGGTTCTTCTACAAAATGAAGATTCTTTATTGACATTGATGGTTCCATGAAGAACCTTTATCAATCTTTCTATTTCACAAAAGATTGTTCATAGTAGAAAATGTTCACTGAAAGGTTCTTTATTTTATCAACGGTTCCTTGAAGAACCTTTAACAAATTCTGGAATCTTTCTATTGGCCCAAACGTTTTAGATTATTAAAATGTTCTTCACACTAATAAAAAAAAGGACTGTTCACTGAAAGGTTCTTTGGGGAACCAAAATGGTTCATCACTGCAAAAAAAAAAAAAGAAAAAAAAAAAAGAGAGTTCCCATACAATTATCTTTTATCTTTTTTCTCATGCTTTTTTCAAATTTCAACTTTTTCTGTTCAGTTCCGATGCACTATATCTCTACCTCTTTTATTACCTTTCTTTTTTCACTCTTGTTTTTTTAAGTGATCTCTTCCCTCCCCCTCACCATTCCCCCATCTCTCTGACTCAAGTTTCTCATTTAACATTGTCCAACTCTTGAAAATAAATACAACAGAATGAAGAGCAGCTATCTGCACGTCCAGTCTGGAAGATCAAATATGGAACTCAAACAGTTTGAGATGGAAAGCAAGAAAGCAAGAAAGAAGTGGGAGAGCGAAAGCTGTGTGTGTGTGTTTAGACCCTGGCTAACTTGAATCATGTACATTCTCATATCAGTGTCGGTTAACAAGACAGGGGTGAGTTTGCCCTATGAACCAAAGAATAACTCGTCTTATATGCATATGTCTGCCTGTGCTTGCATGTGAGGAGCAGATTTATGAAAATCTGCCCACAAATATAGTGAAAACATTTGAAAAAGTCTTCTGTTTGAAAGGTTCATAAATTATATTTTGCTCTCTGAAATTAACAAGTGTGTGAGAGTTTAGAAAATAATATCACCTCTGAATAAAAACTATCGTGTCATTCAGATTTTTCACCAATATGTGAGTATGTTTCCTGCTTTAACACTGATATTTTAGGAAATGCTTTGTGTTTTGGACAGTACTTTGTTATAAATTGATATTTTAGTGTGAAAATCTCTGACTATAAATATTGGTTTAAAATAATATAATTTTAAACTATTTTTAAGAACAACCTAAAATGTGTATTTCTGTTATCCAGCTTTACATTCTTCTTCGTCATGTAGGCCTAACATGTTCATTGAAATCGATAAAAAGTGGATAAACTCAGTTTGCTTATTTCATTCAAAAGTACTAATTTTAATCGGAAATAGCCTACTTATATATACTTAAATAAGTTATTATCAGTCTCGCGCCCGCGTATGTAGACTATATGCAAATAAAAATAATTAAGGAGACTTTTAGGGCAACAATTCAATCGATTATTTGTCATGAAATGTTGAAGCTATCTGAACTAAACATGTGCCGTTAACTTACTTTAACGAAATTGACTTACTTTGTTAGGCCTCTCAAAGCAGTTTTTCATAGAAGCAGTCTTTGACAGATTTGAGAGTTTTTGAAACAGTTTAGAAGAGTCAAATATTCATATGATTGAATCACTTTGCAAACAAATTTACGCGCACATGCACACAAACAATAAAAAAAAAAACTTTAAAAATAAAAACTATAGAGGATTTAAAGCTCTGAGAAAAACTCGGAACAAATATATTAATTATATTTTATAATTATCTGATCTGAATTAGCTAATAATAATAGGCCTAATAATAATAAATGAATATAATTAACTGTAATAAACCAAAGTCGCTCATTCCTTACCTTTCCAGCGATGCATTTTAATTTAGTTTCCGTTCAGATCCGTTTATTCTTTCGGAGGTTCTGAAGAGTTCTGGATGAAATCAAACGAAGCCCGTTATTTTCGTGCGCTGTCCGGTGCTTCAGTAAACTCTCCCAACACTTCTTCCAAACCTGGATTAGCCTGAGATTGCCTGCTGCGCTGCACGCGACAGTAATACACACAGAGAGGAAAACAATTGTAGAATGAATAAAAAAAAGTTCAGTAAACTCTCCCAACACTTCTTCCAAACCTGGATTAGCCTGCGCTTGCCTGCTGCGCTGCACGCGACAGTAATACACACAGAGAGGAAAACAATTGTAGAATGAATAAAAAAAAGAAAAAGTGTGTGATATCCAGGTAAGTGTCTCTGAGACTCGCTGAGTGACTGAAGTGGTTTTATACACATGCACCCCTCTCTTTCTCCTCTTTCTCCTCCTCCTCTCTTCTCTCTTCTCCTCTTCAGTGATTCACTGTTGATTCATCTCCTCTGAAGTGAAGGACCCTGCCACGAGACTCCGAAACCACAAAGCTGGGAGGAATTACACTTCTGACAGAGATTTCATAATTCCTCCCATTATTTTCTCACCAACTGCATGCTTTTTTTTCTCGGATTCGGTGACTCAATTATAATTTGTCGTTGAGTAATTCATTCAGAACGGACAGTGTTTAGACTGGTGTGTGTGTGTGTGTGTGTTTGACCCGGTCTTTTGCTCGTTTATGCGTCACTCCTCCGGTATTGCCTTTATTGACAGTGAGATTATTGAGATTGTGTGTTTAACACACATGCGTGGGTTTATTTCAGAGGCGTGCTGAGAGGATAAGCGCTTGATTTCACCGCGTGACATTAAAAGAAGAGGAAGGATTAACACTGGGATTATTGCATAACTCTTCTGAGCCTGTGATGTTTGATTGATCTGCTGTCAGATGCTGTTTGATTGGATGAATGGCGTCCTCTGCTGTTTAACACCGGGATCATCGACATGACTGCATAAAACCATGTCTAATAATGACTAAAATACACGGGGAAAAACGCGTAGAAAGATTATTTTACCTTTAACTGTATATGTTTATAGCTATTGTTTTTTTAAAAGCAGAAGCGAAAATCCAAAGTCAGGTTTATTGTATTTTTTCCCCATTGCGAGACAAACAAAACAAAAAACAAAACACAGCATTTAGAAATTAATAACATATGAATAATACTATTTTTTATATATATTTTAACATAGTAATGCAATTAACAATAATATGTTAACATGATAACATTTTAATCTTTTAAGCATGTTTTTAATATATAAGTTCATATATTTATTTCGTTAGGCTATATTGTATATAATCATTATATATGCATAATATTGTTATCTTCATATGGTTCTATCTCTCTCTCGCTCGCTAAAAATATGCAGGAGGGACAATAAATACGGACTTTATTTTCATATTAATTTTTTATTATTTGATATTTAATTACATATTCTATCTATATTATATTTAATATTAATAATAGCATTTTAATATTTTAAGATATTTAGTTAATATGTTTGTATTTCATTAGCCTATATTTACGGTCATAATATGGTTATACATGCATAATATAACAGGTTCTCTTTATAGCCATATATATATATATATATATATATATATAAAACAAACTTAAAATAAACATTGTAATTGAATGCTTTTTCGGTTAAAGGAATATAGATTTGATATTTTTCCACTGCGAGACAATTAAAAACAAAGTAAGGAAAAAGACACATACACGAGAGACAATAAATACAAACTTTATTTTAATATTCAAATATTCATTCAAATATTTTGAATTTAATGTATTACTATTTTATATTAATAATAGGCTACTATATGAATAATGATATATAATAATAACATTAATAATATTTTTATATAATAACACAATTAATAATAACATGTCAATGATAACATTTTCATATTTTGTTTTTAATATATTAGTTAATATAGTTATATTTACGATTATAATATAATTATAATACATGCATAATGTGGTTCTCTTCATACATTGGCTATACATTTAGGAGGGACAATAAATACAGACTTTATTTTCATGTTATTTTTTATTATTTGATATTTAATTACATATTTTTATATTTAATATTAATAATACCTTTTTAATATTTTAAGCATGCTTTAAGATATTTTAGTTAAAATGATTTTATTTCGTTATATTTACGGTCATAATATGGTTATAACAGCTTCTCTTTATAACCATAAATATGAAATAAACATTGTAGTATAATGCTTTTTAATTTGAAGGAATATAGATCGCTGCAGTAGTAATTAAACGAATCAAAACGTTCTGTCAATTCTACAGTCAAAAATTATTTTGAAATACATTTTGAAATTCGTTTAGTTTGTTTTTTTGTGTATCTGAATAATAATAATAATAATAATACAAATATTGAAACGCGAAAAAAAAAAAAAGAGTCAGGGAAACGTGCGCGCGTGACCCTTCAACACTTCTTCCGGTTCCGGAGGCTTGACGCGGGAAACCGGCGAGTAGAAGAAGAGCTCGATCATCGAAGTTATCTCTGTGTTTACATCAAATATCCTCACCTCCGGGAAACACGACTATTGTTATTTATAAAGTCGCTGTTCACCCAAAGTAAGTGTCAAAATAAGTTTGTATTGTTTACTGATGAAGTTAAAGGAGTCGCGTTCGCTGCACGTGCGGCGGTGTTTCAAACCCTGCTAAACTCGTCTAACGTACGTTACTTAGCATTTCTAGCGCTGCTAGCGCCTCAGATTCACAAAAATACTGTCTATAACCCAGCCCTTACAGCCCGTGATGCACAGAATGCTGTTTTGTGGGTAGATCACATGAAGACGGGAAAGGAGTGTGATTAGTGATAGTGCAGCTCATGTAGAAGTGAATGAAAGTCTTCAGAGCGAGAACAACTCTGCTGTGAGTGATTAGCTCGTCTGCTGAGGAATGCGATGCTAATGTTATGCCTCTGTGTTGATGTGTGTTTGTTTACAGAGATGGGAGACACTCTGGAGTTTAATAACATTCACACTGAGGTGAAGGGATCTTGGGTAGGTGATGCTAAACTTTCACTCAAGTATGGAGCTCATTTTTACTATTATTATTATTATTATTATTATTTATTAAACGCATAAACTGGCAAACATTAAAATGACCCCTAGGTGTCGCAGTTTGACATTTCTCCTCGACTGGCCAGACCAAAAATAAAGCTTAATATATCATTAATTCATGCGTTTATAAGGCCTCTAAATTATCAACATGATCAAAACTGACCCACTACATGCCTTCTGTCATCTGATTGATATTTTTAACATGTAAAAGGTAGTGTAATTCTGTATTTTTTATTTTTTGTTTATTGGTTTTTATGATGTGGACATAATAACTTTTATAATATAGTAATATAGTAGTATTTCCAGACGAACAATTACTGGACTGAAGCAGCTTAGGCTTACTTGATTATTCAGACTAAATATATATATAAAAAAAAGTCATTTTCAAATGAACCATCAGGCATTTGAGGAATGTTTATTTGCATTAATAAATTAATATTTAATATATATATATATATATATATATAAAAAAACTGGCCCCTTTTAGACTTGCAGTCACTCTATTAATTTACTAACTGCTTGTTTTCTTTAAAAAAAACAACAACAACACTAGCTTGCTCTATTCTTTTCTATTCTGTTTTCTTTTTATTTATCATATAATACAAATAAAAAAAACCTTGCTAGGTGTACTGCGTTAAGCTAACTGAGACTTGTTATAGCACTTGCATATCATTGCTCTTTTGCTGATTTTGATTGCTTCTATTGTCCTCATTTTTGTAAGTCGCTTTGGATAAAACATCTGCTAAATGACTAACTGTAAATATTTGCATTAACTGTGGGATTCAGTGAGAGCTCCAGTAGGCAACATTTGAAGTGGATCAAAACCTTTCATCAAAGTTGTCCTAAAACCTAAAACCAAAATGCGTTCTTGTCTTAGGACAACTTTAATGAACATTTTTTATCCACTTCAAATGTTGACTATAGTGTAGATAAATATAATTAGGGCTGGGTGATGAAAATATGATATATATTAGTGCTGTCAAACGATTAACCGCGATTAATCGCATGCAAAATATATATATTTTTTTTTGCGTAATATATGTGTGTGTTCTGTGTATATTTATTATGTATATATAAATACACGCACACATACAGTATATATTTTGAAAATATTTACATGTATTTACATGTCTATATTAATATATATATATATCTAATTTATTTTATAAATAAATATATTTATATATAAACAATGTTTCTGAAATATATACATGCATGTGTGTGTATTTATATATACGTAATAAATATACACAGCACACATACATATATTATGTAAACAAAAACTTCTTTTGTATGCGATTAATCACGATTAATCATTTGACATCACTAAAATATATATATATATATATATACTTTTTTTTTTCGTATCATATGATATTGATATTTAATGTGTTATTCATGTAGCATTAATGGGGAAGGAAATGCTTTTCACATGTTTGTCAGACCTTGAGAATAAATATATACATAACTTTGTTCACATTTAAGCTCCACAGAGTTTTCCATTTAATTTTTTCCTGGATTCTGTGTTTTATGATGCAATATAAATTTATCATTAAAAATACCTTTGTTGTATGATATTCTTCAAAAATAATACTATTTGAGAATTTTATTTTGTCATACAATAGAAATATATTTGTCATAATTTCAAGTTAAAGCGGACTATCGTGAAGGTCTTTCAGTTGTAGTTTCAGTGTATTTGACATCGTTTTTCTCAAATTAATCACAGTAAAGCTGCTGAAGTGACTCTCAGAGCAGTTCATGTCTCATATATTGAGATGCAGACGCTGAAAACACAGCGAGGATTATGTGACTTAGTTTGCATCAGACGAAATCACGCCATTCATTCATACAGCACAATCTCGCATCTTGGCGACATGCACTGACTGCTGTTTAACATTTATTTCTGTTGTATAATCCATATCGAGTAAAAATGTCTAGAGCTCATGGTTATTGACAATTTTATTGCAATCTCGATATGATACCGTTTATCGCCCAGTCCTAAATAGGGTTGGGAATCGAAAATTCAATTCCAGAATCGGATACTTGGCTACATTTGCAATCAGAAGCCAAAAAAGCTAAGTATAATATCTGTGATAGTTAAACATGTTGCAAGAGAGGTGTCACCACCAACATGACAAAGCACTTTAATTTAATAGATCGTTAAAGATCACGAACACGAATCAAACACCAATGTGATTCTGTTCCTAAATTACAATGATTTGTCTGTTTCATTCCTCAACCTTTGACGTGTGCGATCAATGTTGTGATCACTTGGTTCGTCCGTGCAGCGTACGATCACACCAGTGTGATTTGAACATTTAAATCTGCGTTCGCGCTGCCATTGACCTAAAGAGAGCAGCTGTCTGTCATGAATGAAACAGCTTCACAGAATTTTCAACTACACTGTATCATTATTTCTGTGTTACAAACATTCAAATCACAGAAGTACTGGGATAAAAGTTTATAGTTCAGATATAAACTCTGATGTGTACGGTAGCGATTAAAATGGAGTAAATCACCTTTTGAAAGTAATTTGACACTTTAAATGAAGATTTGTCGATTACATTGTTACGCCAGTAGGTGGCGAAAAGGGGCTGTTTTAATATTTATCTGTCTTTGAATCATACAAGAGATTCCTTCAAGAACGCTGATTCATCCAGTAATAAAACAAGTACATCTTGAGTGAGTCATTGAATCATTTATTCATAAATTACATGTGGTTTTGTTTAGTTGTCTAATTTTTTTTCTTCAGAATCGTGAGAGAACCACAAAAAAAAACAAAAAAAAAAACACTAAATTTATCCAAAATCATGCAGCTCTATTTTGCATACAAACAGCTCTTAAAGAGTCCATTTTTTATGTAGCCTGTTGATTTTTGTTCATTGTATTCAGCAGCAATTAAAAGGTTTGCAAAAAGAGACACACGATTTGTTATCATTTTTTTAATCACATTGGAATCTAAAATAATCGGAATCGGAATTGATAAAATTCAAACGATACCCAACCCTAGTCCTAAATGTAATGCTTCCTTTCTGCTTCTGCTTAAATGTTTGTTTTTTTTCCCTCTGTGTCAAAGGAAGTGCAGTGTGTGTGTGTGTGTGTAATTCAAGATGTTTCAGGAATGTGTTTCTCCAGGGGTTAATCACTGGCCTCCAATAATGGATTTGCTCTGCATGTGTGTGTGTCTGTATGAAGTCATTGTGTTTGGTGTTTATTATTAAGCAGTGCACTGTAACTCCGGAAGAATCTGTAACATGTATTGTAGACAGAGTTGACATGAGCATGCAGTATGTTTGTTTGCTGTGCATTGTTTAAATGCTGACTTTAACAGCGTCGTCATTGTTCCGTCTTTACTTTAGGGAAAGAAAGCCATGTTTTGAGGATCAGGGTGAGCTGTGTGTGAGAGTTGCGGGTTTGTGTGATGTTAATGTGATCGTGAGGGATTCGCTAAGCAGTGCCAAGCTCGTTAGCGCGCAGATGGACGCGCACACACCTGGTGGAGTGACATGTGGAAGCGATTGTGCAGCGCTGGATAAATAAACAGGCTGATTGAGCGTGCTCCGCATCAGCCTCCGGCCGGATTACACACACCTCTGCCATCCCAGAAGGCCGAGCACCGCCGCCAACTTGCTTTATTAATGAACCCACGACTGGATGAGAGAGAGAGTCTGGGGAAGTGAGGCATTAATTCTGTTTATCTCTTCTTTCTCTCGCTCTTTCCTCCCCGCCGCAGGATTTTGAGAAAATCTCAGTTTTTATACTGTACAAACTGTATTTTCTATTGCCCTACACCAACCCTACACCTCTAAACCTACCCCTCACAGGAAACTGCTGGCAATTTTTGAATTTCATAAAACTTTTTTTTGTATGTTTTTTAAGCCTTTTGTTTTACGGGGACACAGGAAGTGTCCTCATAAACCATGTTTACGTTGTAGTACCCATGTCATTATACACATTTGTGTCCTCATAAACCATATATACCTGTACACTCTCTCTCACTCACTCACTCACACACTGGCAATGCACGAGATTAAAGTCCTGTCCAATAAAAATCCACTAATTATTATGTTATGGCTGATAGCTGATAAATGACCGATATGGAAATTCTGTGCTGCTTTGTTAAAATAAAAAAATAAGTAAATACTAAAATCAGTCATTTTAAATGCAACAAGGCAGTTTTATAATGTACACTATGATAAAGTATATATTAAATTAGAAATTTGTTAAAGGTTACATGTAAAAATGTATATACAATGCGGACAGATATTAATACTATTGACTGATAAAGATAAATAAACAAAAATACAACCAATATATAACTCCATTAAATTAAAAGAAATTTGTGAAAAAGTGAAAGTGAGTGTAAAAAATTTGTTACAAAAGATTTCCATTTCAAATAAATGCTGTTCTTTTTAACTTTCTATTCATCTGTGAATCCTGAAAAATAAAATGTATCACTGTTTCCACAAAAATATTGTGCAGCACAACTGTTTTCAACATTGATAATAATCAGAAATGTTTCTTGAGCAGAAATCAGCATATTAGAATGATTTCTGAAGATCATGTGACACTGAAGACTGGAGTAATGTTGCTGAAAATTCAGCGCTGCATCACAGAAATAAATTAATTTTTAACACAATCACATAGAAAACAAAAATAAATGTTAATAATATTTCACAATTTTGATTGTATTTTTGATCAAATGCATATACAGCCTTAGTGAGCAGATGGAAACGTCTTTCAAAAACATGAAATCTTCACAACCTCAGACTTTTGAATGGGAGTGTAAATTAGGGCTGTCAAAATGACTGAAAAACTGAATTCGAATTTTCTACTTAAATATTATCAAAATTTGAATTATATTAGAATTTAAAAGGCATAATTTCATTTAGGGGGAAAAAAGCTTTTGGCTTCTCTCTTGAAGCCACAAGAGGGCGCATCGAGCAAAATATTATAAACGTTTCTTCAAAGAGTAATAAAATAACACGACCATCTTTGAAAAAAGTGCATAATGTTTAAAATAATGTTTAAGTTGCTTAAACAATTAGAAGAAAAAAAACAGCACCATGCAACAACATCTCCACACTGATGCTCTCGTTTTCCGCAATATATTGAATGAACAACGTAGCAGTGCCACATCTAGTGGGTTCAACTGGATAGGCTAACAAAAGCATTCAAATGCAATGACACTACATCTTCGTCGCATTTCGTGCGCCACTGATAAGGCTGCCTGACGGCTGACGCAGACCTACAAAAATTTTTTTTCATTCGACGAATATTCAAAATTAAAAAATTTTTTTGACAGCCCTAGTGTAAATTGTCATATACTGAGGCTAAAATAATAAAAGAAATTGATTTTGCCCTCTATGACATGCTCACTGTTTCTGTCTGCGCTCAGGGTCTCTGCTGTCGTTTGATGTGAGCGACAGTCCCGTCTTCGAGATCCCGCTGTCCGGCGTATCCCAGTGTGCAACGGGGAAGAACGAGGTGACGGTGGAGTTTCATCAGAATGACGACGCGGAGGTGTCTCTCATGGAGGTCCGCTTCTATGTCCCGCCCAACACCGGAGACGACGGCTCGGACCCTGTGGAGGTGTGTGTGTGTTTGTGTGTGTGTGAAGGGTTGAACGACTTCTGATTTTTTTAAAGTTTACTTTTATGTGATGAAAGTCGAGTCAATGTCGACTAGTCGCTGAGGACGTCATTAATGAACAAATATGCCTGAACCTGGAGCTGAGACTCAAACACCTTGTGCACAACTATGGCATATGACACAGCGCTGCCCACATGGCTATTGCTCCTATAGCAACTTTTTTATCCGTTCTTTTGTCTTTGGTTTGTTATATTTCTCACAGATTTCTACTCGTTCTAAATCAGATACAGATAAAGTAGCTCAGTAAAGATTACATTCATGTGAATGCATTAGTGAGAGCGATTGCGTGTGTGAATTAATTCTACCTGGCAGCATCTCTCTGCTAGTACCGAAGCTGTGGGATTTAGAAATATATGCTTGAACTTTTCAGTTTCTAAGCTATTTTATTGAGAAATCACAGAACATTTCCGCGCTGAATGATTCTGTGTGCTTGCGATGTGTGTGTGATGTATGAGCTACTGTCTGTCTGTAGCCTATGTGTGTGCGTTACAGTGCAGCAGCGCATTAGATTAGAACGGCGATTAACTTACCTGTACAATAAGCTGTTTAAAACGTGCATTCTCCCGTTCAATTTCGA